TAGCAATAAACCTATTACAAACTATATTTAATAATAAAACTAAAACCATTCGATAGACCCATCCTCAAAACTCTATAAAACAAATGACAAGAAAATGCCTCAACAACAGATTAATAATGCTAACATTATATTTATCTTCATTTTTCGGGACTTCGGGGAATCCGCGCAGTGGAATCACGCTCTGTATTCACAGTGGGTGCACTGTGGTACAAGGAGGGTGGCCTTGAGGTGCGACATTTTTAAGGTATGATCGCGGGATTTTCGGTATTAGTCCATCCACTTTGGGATGCATTGTCGATTTCATATGTTATGGCCAATTAAGAGCGTGGCAAAGACAGCAGTACACAGTTTTAATTTTTAATATTTTGAAGTCAGTGGTGTGTTGATCCATAACATTTTCGAAATAGAGTTCGATTTAATGATACAATTAATAATTATGAATAGCAATAGCAATAGAATCATCAAGTTGCCATAAAGCACGGAATGAGACTATCGCATTGCTGGCTAGTCAAAGTCCTCCATTCGTTAGTCATTTCAGGTGGATTAGAATAGGTTTAGGTTTAGGGTGGGCGTTGGCCAGATTTGGATTTTTCAGATATAATCCTAAATAGGACCTAGATTATTTAATACACTAGTAACCTCAACCTCTGTCACAATGTTTCATTGTGATTAATCAACACTCAATGGGTTAAATATCAAATTTGCGGTAAATTAAAAAAAAGGGAACTTGGAGTGTAGAGCGCACTGCCCACTGGACGATTCTGAAGCCTGGCCAAGTGAGTTACGGGTTTATTTGATTGTACGTCATTTCCAAGTTACATATAGATACATTCATACCATTGGCATTTTGTATTTGAGATAAGACAGAGATAGGATGCGGAGGGCCCGCTTAGGGGGAGCGTACACACTTAGAAGAAATTACCGACTTCGGTAATTTATTTACCGAATTCTCAACAGCTGAACGGTCGGTAATGTGTTCGGTAATCGAGAACATTAGCGAAAAATCTGTAAACTGAATCAGCAAAATTAGCTGTCAAATTTACCGAACGATCGGCAACGTTTATCAAAAAAACAAGCTTGATTTGTAATTTTTTTTTTTTTTTATATATATCTTTATTAAGGAGACTTTCAGCCGTTGGCTGGCTCGTCTCCGATTGATGTGTAATTGATTTTACCGGAGAACTGTAATTTTGTAGTCGATATAGAAAATGAAAATTACCGAAAGATCTGTAATTTTTTTAAAAGTCTATCGACTTAAATTTAATTCGATTTAATAGTGTTTCAAGGTGTTTTTCGGGTTTCATCAATTATACAAATTAAATACAAATACTCAGATGAATAATTTTTTTGAGTTCATTCAATGATGCCTCTGATTCACAGGTAGAACTTGCTTCATCGCATTGAGTAGGCATTTCATGACCGATGAAAAGGGTTTCCCCGAGTGGATCGTTTCTCTTCGTGGTACTTCCGGCTGGAACAAAGCTTTCAAGTGGATGCTTTTTTTGCGTTTTAAAGAATAGAAGTTTCTGTATCTTGCATCACATTTCTGATATGTACAATCAAAAATTGTGTTTGCCGGTATAAAATCTTTCTTTTTTATGTGGTCATTGATGAAAAAACAAGCAACAGTATCGGCCATATGTAACAATGGGTACTTATTTAGATAACGAAATATCATTACTTACGAAAAATACCTACGATTCGCTCATCTTGGTATTGCAGTTGGTCCATAACAGCCTCCATAATTGAACTTTTTATTTTTCACAAGTTTCCACTTACAATTTTTTTTTAAGAAGGTCGAAAATCACAATATGGTGAATTTGACGTTTCTCGCTGTGAAAACTACCGAACTCGGTAATGGAACGGTTTGGTTACCGAAACTTCAGTAAAATATTTCATCGAAGTCAGTAATGAAGCTGATTTACAGATCTGCCGGTAATTTTTTTTTTACCGTTTTCGTTGAATTGAAATGAAATCACTGAAATTCGGTAATTTTATTTACAGTTTTCAGCAATAGAGCGAGAAAATACCGAAACATCTGTAATTTTTAGGATTACCGATCTAAGACGGTAATTTTTTTACCGAACTCAGGGTCTCTGTTTAAGTGTGTAACCCATGTTATGGCTTCCATTTATTAAATAGTTCAGATAGGCTGGAAATGATAGGTTCATGGTGAGAAAATGTACCATATGGTGTCCGTTCACTGATCAAAATTAGATTCAAATCGTCAGGCCCTGCCCTGGCATAAGGGGATTGACGATGATTTGTCAAGTTTCATTTTGCATTTGCATATAATTGTAAGTTTAGGTTTGCTTTTGTAATTGTAAGGTAGATAGTTTGCCTCAATTGAAACATTGAGTTGTATAAACTTGACGAATCATACCTCTAAAATAGTAGTAGTTACAGTGCCGCATGATCTAACAACCACTGCCTGCAACTAATGTTGGAGGGGCCGGCAGGGCTGATTACGGATCAAAACTAACATAACTCTAACACTGAAATGATCCCGAAACTAACGCTCATTCATTGCACTTTGAGTCATAAAGTAGTTTTATTTAATTTCCTACTAATCTATCTACACACTTAGATTTTTCAAACCGAGCTCGGCTGTGCGGGTCTCGGCGGGGAGGGTTTCGCTGAGATCTCGGCGGGAGTGACATTTTATTCTGCCTACGTCTCTTTTCTTTGTTATCTGCTCTTCTTTCCTCTTCTCTTCTTTTGTTTTGTTTGTTTACATATAACTAATACTAATACCTCCTTGTTTTCTCTCTAATTTGTCTACTATGTCCCACCATCACGATGAGAGATAAGCTACCGTACATGGTACACGCTCATATACACTCCCAAAATAGTATGCCGCAAGTAAGTATATCACAGAGGCAACTAAAGATCCAGAAACAAAAACCGATGGCGCTGAAGATAATGAAGTACTACTACACTGTATTGTAATTTGTACAATAATACTCACATTACTTATTATTAATTATATACTTTATTATGTATTTATATTTAGCTGTGGTGATTTATATGACTATATAGTATTATTTATTTATACTAACCAAAATAATAGACTTATCTTTTTCAGCAGGTGTGATTTTGTTTAGTTATGTTTCTTTCGTTTCAGTAAAACAACAACAAAAAACCTCTATAACTGTTCTCCATTCTTTTAATCTTCTACTATCCCCTATAAATGTATCGGAAACTAGTGGGACTGTTTGTGCAAACAGAAACAGGCCTGCTAGTGGAAAAAGGTCGTTATGCTATACGGTCTGGCATAGGCATACGGCCAGGTTTCAGTAGGTACACACTCGCTTAACGGCAGATTGGTTTACAGTGGTCGACCAGGGTGTGTGCTGATAAATTACAATTAAATTACAATACTATTATAAAAATGTGAAATAGGTCTGTCTTACTTTTCCCATTCACCGGTGTAAGTGGAACCTACTTTGGATTTTGAATAAAACTATCGAAACATAGAAATTTATGGCATAAGATCTTCAGTATACATAATTTGTTTAAGTGCTTGAAGCACATTTTTTTCGAAATGTATCGTCCAAAAATACCGTACCGCCTCTTAAAGATAGTGCTTTGCTCACGAATAGGACAGAATAAATTATTTAAACAGAGTCTAAGCGAAGACAACAAATCAAGAAGACTGGCATTTCTTCCATTTTCTCATACGAACGCAATGAGACAGGTACAATCGCGTCATCTGCCGCTCAAGGGTAAATGCTTCGAACGAATTTGATAGCAAAAATTACATCAGAAGAAAGTTTGTGTATTCGCTCATTTTTCTATACGTTGTTTCCACCTTCGCTCAAGCGCAGCGCTATTGTATCTATCGCTTGGATTCTGGCAAAGTTGCTAGTATTCTTGATATGATATCTGCGGTCTAAGGTAGCACTTTATGAGGAGGAGTTAGTGAAATAATTTTTTTTAATGCTTCAAATAAATGGTCGCAGCGCAAAATTACACAACAGAAAAGCCCTTCGTTATGTAATTTATGGATAAAACCATAAATACTGAGAGGAAGAGATGGTCGGAGAAAACAAAATACAATCCGACAGCCAGAGTTTGTATTTAAATTATCTTGCAACCCTTAGTAGAAGCTAGCATTTCACATGACTTTTCTTTTCTATTCGATACGTGCAAAATAATAATAGGGTCGGGTGGGGGTAAGAGTGCCACCCCCTATAAATTTGAAAATAAACATGTTTTCAATGCTAATTCACCCATGACACTATGAATGGTGTTCCTATGCCTCCAGGCTGAACTGAATGTTGCACCCAGCTTGTAAGTTACTCATAGATTTCATTAGTCACAGCTGCTGTGACTCGATGGAGACGCATTGTGAACTACCTTGCGTCTTCATCGTTTCCATGCACGTGTGGTGCATATATTGAGGAACAATAATTTTTTATTTAAAAAAAATTGCTTCTCCGACATCGCTAATTTTTTGATATGTTATGTAAAATTAAATGATCTTTCAATTAAAAATACTAAAATAAGAAGTTGTTGAAGACCCTCGCAGTGAAAATCAAGAAAAAGCATTTGTAACATATTTTTTACCTACAAAATCAAATATCTCTGAGTGTTTCATAATTTTTCTTAAAACAACATTAAAACATCTTTCATTTGAAGGGTCAATCGTAAAAATCGGTCAAAAGGTTCAGAAGTTATAAATTTTTGAAAAAAGACATTTTTGAAAAAAATGATTTTTTGGACCACCCTAACACGGAAATGGTCACCTTAATGGTGCAATAAAAAAATACCAGTCTAATATTTTTTGATAAGGAAGAACTATACCAATTTTCATGAAATTCTGAGACCCACTATAACTTTTTTCTATGGAATTGCTGTATATATATATGGTATATATTTATTGTATATATATATATATATAATATATGCCCAAATTAAATTCCCCACTGCCCCTAAAGTGTCTGCGAGGTTTACGAACAGCCCCTAATCATGTTCCAATTTGTGATTTCCTTTCGCAGATACCGATACAGATTTCTCCGAATCAGAAGCATTGAGTTCCCTCCAAATTTCGGAGAAGAACAAAATTCAGCCCATGAGTCCTACCAACCAGTCAGAGCCAGAAGACACTGGTAATCATTATTGCTACCTATTCATATATACAGAATACTTTTAATCCAACTTTTTATTACATTTTTATTACAGTTGCAGAACATCAGGTGCTCAGAATAGAGACCAAGCAAGTTCCCAAACCTAGTCAGCCAGAAGTTGTACTAAGCGACGGCAAGTATTGAAATTCATTAGTTAGTTATGGAAGATACACGATATAAAATTTCATGTTAGTGTAGTTCTTCCAATTTTTGGCGTGCTGCTGATTGATATAGTCATTGTTGCTTTTACTAAGATCAAGTGTATATTACAATAATCAAGGCCTTACTAATCTTACTTTTGTATCAACACCAACTTCTTCTTTTTGCATTACGGTACTTATAATCATGTTTTTTTATCACAAATGATAGTGATTTTTTATAATGATCGATGGTAAGTTAAGTTATTACAATCCATTTTTTATGCAAAGTCACTTCCTACATAGATACCACTCCCCTTGGCTAGTTTTTACACCATGTTGCTGGTAGGCGGGCTTAATTTCATCCTTTATAGTGGAGTGTTAGAGACGGTAGGTTTATGGCCGACGTTGCTGGCTCATGCCGGATAGAATGGAACCATGGGCAGGCAATGGGGATTACTAGGTTTCCCCTCTCTGATGAACAACTGCATGAGAAAACCAAAGATCTAGTCTAGCAGTGATAGTATCACACTTGTTACTCCTTAGTTTGAGAGCCACGTTGTAGGACGCTTATGTATAGGCACTGACGTTGGGTGCGATACTGGCGGCTGTTTCCGCAAATCACTCTTATTTATTTTTACGCAGATAGTTTTATTTGGGTTTGCAAGGGAATTATACTATTGAAATATTTCAGAAAGTGCCCAACAGTGCTCCTTCTATTTGCGTGACAAGCTTTCATTGCTGTTTTCATTGGTGTATTACTCAAGGAACAATGTTAAACACCATTTTTGTACATGGTATTGTAACTAATCTTATATATGCTTCATTTTGATTTGGGATAAGTGTTTGAATTATGGCTCGGGATTTCCACTGTGGCGTGCTTCAGTTGTGACATACCCATACGTATTTTTGTGGTGCGACATAGTGGAAGCATGTGAGCATAGTTGGACCATATACCCTATATAATTTAAAAATCAGCTAGGAAACTAACTTCAATGTGAACCATTTTAGTCACTTGAAGGTATCACCTGGGACGAACTAAGATATAAATAGGTATAGGTCAAAATCAAAAGTACTTGAAACACGTTTAATTTTAGATTACAAGGACAAGTACAGGTTCTTAATAAATCATGAATTATGATTGATTAGGTAAATTAGAGATTTCAAGAATTTATGAAATTAGACTAATGAGACATCATAATCATCAAATTTTTTTTTTATACTTTATTAAAGAGATTTTTAGCCTTAGGCTAGTTCATCTCTAAGTATAATCATCAAATGAACCTAAATAAGAAACTTCAGAAAGTCTAATAACATGAAGTAGATTAATAAAAGAATTAGGATGCGGGGGCGCTTAGGGTGGCAACTAAACTTTAAAGTTGTAGAATAAATCTTCCTATTTAGTCTTCAACACAAGATATTCAGATTAACAAGGAGAGGAATAGTTTACGAAATAAGTAAAAGGAGAGGAATGTGACAATTAAATAACATCAACACTAACCCCATACCTGTATTTGATCATGATCTGATCACGGTTGTTCATCAGTTGTACATAATCCGAACAACTTCTTGTACTCAGCTGTACGCATTGAGATCTTTAGTTTGTAGTGTGCACTCACAACAAGCTTAGTATAAGTAATGTATCGTGAGTGCACACAGCAATGATGTTGTTATCGTCTTGCTCTCTTGAGATCTTGGTAACTCACTGTTCGAAATGCTCTCTGCGTATTAGTGTTAAGAGTCAGAGTTCATCGTTAGCTTATGATGATGCCAAAAAATCTTGTAGCAGGTGTGTGCGTATTGATTGATCGCTAGAAGCGATTTTTTGAAATAACTGATTCTCGATCCTGACATGGTTGAAATATAGTCGCTATATTCATAGTCTGGCGGATATAATCTCGGGAACCAATTGAACTGTCAAATAGCGGAACAATCGAGCAAATCACCACCAACAACAGAAAAGAGCACATCAGCTATTGCGAACAAAACTTTGGAAACCATTTTCTCGTGATTCAAGGCTTGCCTACGCAAACTAACACTATCTTTGCGTTGGGGAAAGATGCCCCTATCCGGTGATGCCGGTAATTTGCGTTCGATTGTCGAGGAAAGAATAATCAACGTTTTGTTTATGAATGTTGATAGGACCTTTTCAATTGTTGGTCTACAATATATTGAATTGGTTCCGCTTTTTGATAGATCGGAATTCTATCCGCCAGACTATGAATATAGCGACTGTAGGTTGAAACCGCTGCACAAAGTTTTTCACACGTCTTGGCATATCATTGACAGGCACGTTCCAAAAAAGAGTTCACCGGAAAATGTCACACTTTCCTTGGCAGACGAACGAAGTGAGGAAGCTGAAATCCAAGAAAGCCGCATTGAGGAAATTCACTAAATATCGCACACTGTCGCTGAAAAATCTTTACGTTAGGCTCAACTAAGAATTCAAGCGAGTTAGTCGTCGTTGCTAGTTGCGCTATCAACGAGGGATTCATAGCAAATTCAAGTCGCACCCGAAGTCTTTCTGGAAGTATGTAAAAAAGCAACACAGAGAGTCCGGCCTACCATCGTCAATGATATTGTTCAGCGATGTCGCTTACACCCCTCAAGAGGTCTGCCGCTTGTTATCTAAAAAGTTTGCCATCGTTTTTTTTTCTGATGAGAGATTGACCGACGAACACGTATCCCTAGCAGCAAGCAATTTACCACTCTCTGGGCAAGCTCTGTGTGCAATTGATTTCAACGTCGAGATAATTTCCACTGCCGCACTAAAACTCAAGTCGTCTTTCAACCTAGGACCGGACGGTGTTCCTTCAGTTTTTCTGAGGAAACATATCGTCAGCTTACTCATACCGTTGCATCACCTGTTTCGAATGTCCATCTCGAATGGTATATGTCCATCTAGTCAGAAATTTGCACATATATTTCCTGTTTCCACACATGTACTAAAAGGGAAGCAAACGGAAAGTGGTTAATTATCGTGGAAACACATAGTTGTGCGCAATTTCGAATTTATTAGAGTTAGTCTTCATACATTTTCAATGGTAGCTCACCCATGAAATTATGAATTGTGTTCCTATGCAGCATTATATAAAGTTTTGTCCAAATGAAGTCTTACAAAAAATACAAAAAATCATTGTGCTGATGTGTCGAAAATCGAAATTATTTATAACAGTTAGACATCATAAAATAAGGATTCACGAGTTTAAACATAAGTTTTCCTACAAAACCTGCATTGAAGTATGACAAAGAATAGGTAAATATTTTCTTTAATTTATCAAAAATCATCTTCTTAAAAATGAACCTCACTTGGCAAGTGCCACCCCTACATTTATGAATAAAATTATACAAAAATTTCAAATGAATTGCTTCATTGTGAATCCAAGTCTTCGGAAAGCTTGTTTTCACCAAATTTGCCAAAACCCGCTACATAAAATATTATCAACAATAGGTTTCATTTGATTTCAGTGGTACACATGGCTTATTTGTTATGTATTGAATAATATTTGTGAAATTCAATAGTTAAATTGCGCAAACAATAACAGCTGTTGTCCAGCATGATTAATAATAAAAAGGCTATGATAATAAACAAGTATTAATCGATTTCACTCTATTTAAGACGCATGGCCCTTTTGCCCCATATAAGTTTCAAAAAAAGATTTGAGATGACATTTTAAAACAACTTTTGACGAGGTTTAATTTGCATTACATTGCTGATTTATGAAGGCAATGCTATTAACTTGCAGTACGGTGTACAAACTCCTATAAATATCTACTATTTGCCATATATAAAACGTACCATTGTTAAACTCTTGCCCCACCATACCCTACATCTTGGTACAATTTGTCTGTTGGATTGTTCTTTCTTTTATCGAATTGAGTGTCCAAAATATCCGACTAGTAGATTGACAAACATGACTCGAACCGAAAAGTTTGGGAATACCATGAGAATATTCCCAAACCATTCGGTCCGAGTCATGTTTGTCAATCTACTAGTCAGTATTTATTTAAGCTTTTGAGAACTCAACTGAAAAACAATTAAAATACTATTAATTTCAACATAAACTTGTCCGTTAAGATTCGATAATTTTAGGCTGTGTGGATCATCTTTGTTCTAGCACTTTTTTTTTCAAAAACACTTACACTTTCAGGGAACTTACTTACAATGATCCTGCGCACCTCCAGGGGTGCAAAGGGCCTTTGTGAAAGATTTCCATCTTGGGCGATTACTAGCTTTGGCCTTGACCTGTGCCCAAGTCAAATTTCGGTCAACGTTCTTAATTTTACTGTTTATTCTCCGCCGCCACGAGCTTCTGGGTCTGCCTCTGCTGCGATGTCCTGCTGAATTCCAGTCCAGTGCTCGCTTGCAGTTTTCGTTTCCGCTCCGTCGTAGTGTGTGGTCGACCCACCTCCACATCCGTTCACCAATTTCTGTCTCTATCGGCTTCTGATGGCACAAACGATGAAGCTCGGAATTTGAGAATTATGTACCGCAGGCATCGGTTGATAAACACCTGCAGCTTCTGAGTGTTCTCCGCTGATACACACCATGTTTCACTGGCGTATAACAGCACAGACTTCACGTTCTAGTTAAAAATTCGGATTTTAGTGCGTCGACTGATCTGATTCGCTCTTCATACATTTCGCAAACTGGCAAAAGCAGCCCTCACCTTCTTAATCCGTGCATCTATGTTGCTCTTGGTACCGTCGGCCGACGCTATCTGGCTGCCAAGATATTGGAAGCTTTCGACTTTCTCCACTGCCTGCCCAGCTACCGTGAAATTGGAACGGTTTTCCGTGTTGACATCCAGCGATTTGGTCTTGTTGACGTTGATGGTTAGACCTGCTTCAGAGGAGCGTTCCACAAGGTCGTCGAGCTTACTCTGCATGTCAGAGCGCCGTTGTGCTAATAACGCAACATCATCAGCCAAATCGAAGTCGTTGAAATGCTCCATAGTAATAAACTGACACAGCAACCCACGGTTCGGTATACGGT